TTAGCAAAAATCGAATCAAATGTTACAAAAAATACGACACATGTTGTGACTACAGGTATACGTACAATAAATCTATTACATGGTATTATACGAGGTTGTTGGTTAGTTACTCTTGAATGGGTTTTAAAATCTTTAGAAAACAATACTTGGTTAAATCCAGAAAAATATGAAATAGTACATTTTTCAAAAGCAGTTTTGGTAAATAAAATATACAATTATAAATATATGTTATGTACAGTATACATAAAAATATATAAAAAACATTATATACATATTCATGTTAATTTTTAGGAAAATCGCAAAGATAGGCAATTATTTGGAAAATCTTATGTTCCAGAATTGTTTACAGCTTGTGGATATATATATATTCAAAAAAATACTACACCTCCTTATAATATATTAAAAGAACTGATAAAAGCTGCTGGAGGTTGTGTTACTGAACATCCAGAAACAGCAAGAATTTTGATTGGTATAGGAGGTTTAAAAGAAACATGGATCTTGGACTGTATCACATCAGGTGAATTACAGCCGCATGATCAATATAAACAATAATATTGATCTATATAATATTTAAAAAATAAAACTTGATAAAAAAGAATTATAATTATAATAAACGAATTAACTTATAATTATAATTAAGCCTAGATAAGCAATTATTATTTAAAAAAATGTCTTTTATACATACAATGCATGCATACGTATATATATATATAATTATTTATTTTTATATTTACTATATACAAATTGTATATATATATGTATATCAAATAAAACAATTTATATATAATTATTATTTTTAACTGTTACAATATATATTTTAGTTCTACAAATTTTAATATTCAAATTAAAAAAGTATTTGAATTTTCTGAGTTAAATAAAAATTAAAACAAAAGCACATGACAAATATGTAATTTATAAAAATATTTAAAAAAGGAAAGGGAGACTATTTAAAAGTTGAGACATTGTTTAGAAACGTATCTTTTTTAAATGATTTGTTACGATTTAAACAATATTGTAATAAAAGAACAGTATTACATTTCTAATAATTAACATAAGCTAATCTGAACAAAAAAATTTTATAAATAGAGTTTTTTCAGTTCACTCAGATTAGGTTATATTACTGTGTACTTACTGCTATTCGTAACGGAATTAGTACAATGTGTCAAACTGACACATATCGTATCTTTGTATTTATTTAATCTTATATAAATATATATATGTATATATATCAATAAATATGGATTACATACATTTTCAGTAAGTAATAAGATATAATTTTGTGATTGACATATAGATAAATGAATTCCGTTGTTGGTTCTTTGTTATTGCGTAAGTTTATAATTTCACTTATTCATTAAAAATTTTTTAATCATTATAAATTCAATATCAATAAAAATAATGTATAAACAACACACATACGTACAAACACACTGTAACGAGAGTTTTAATTAATTAAAATTTGTTTTAATTACTTTGTTTGTTTATGTATATATGTATTAAATGAATATAAATATATAAATTATTTTTGCATTCCATGTGTTTATGTATTCCATGTAAAAATTTCATTATAGAAAATGTATTTGTCACGTATCCAATTGAATAAAAATTTTTGTATCATCAAACAAATAAATTTTATACAAACAGTTATTATTATTTAAATTCTAGATCAGATTCACGTGGAACTCCATCCACAGAAACATGTATTCCAATCCCAAGACATAATATGACAATAATAACTGATATTTATGCAGGAATTCCTGAAAATTTATTGCTGAATTTTTTTGGATTTTTGGTAAAAATTATATTTAAAGAAATATATTGTTAAAAATTAAAATTTAATTTAAATAATAAATAATATATTTTATATGTATTTATTTAATCTTGTTTAATATTATAATATACTTTGGTAGTTTCTAGTTATCTTGTTTGGTTTATTACGTAAAAAAGCATGGAACTATGGACGTCTTGCATTATTGAATAAAACAGATGAACGATGGATGGAATTATTTTATGGAAATAATGAAGGTAAAGATACAGATGCACTGTGCGTAGAAACTTCTGTTAATTCCCAACTTTCACAAGTTGATAGAGGTTTCTTATTATGGATTGTTACTGCATTCAAAGTTACGTAAGTAGCATAAAATATAATTTGTTTAATAAATATATAATTAAGTTTAATATTGACTGTAATATTGATATTTTAACAAATAATGATATTTTATTATTTTAATTTTAGAGATGACGAGCTATTAAAACGGGCAGGTCCAGATGGCTTATTATATATATCATTTGAACGTCATTTGATCATTTTAACATGTTTAATGGTCATTGTATCATTATGCATTGCTTTACCAATTAACTTTCATGGTAATATGCAAGGTGATAATGCAACATTTGGTCATACAACATTATCAAATTTAGACCCAATGTCTATGTGGATTTGGGTGCATACGATTTTAATTTTATCCTATTTACCAATTGGTGCATACATCATGAGACATTTTTTAAAAAAGGTATATTCTACTATGGGAAAATAAATTATAAATCTATATAGATAAAAGATACAATGAAAATATATAAAAATGATGAAACAATAAAAAATGCATACTGCATAGGTACGAGAATCTAAGCATGGAGGTGAATTGGCAGCTAGGACATTGTTAATTACAGAAATACCAAAACAACAATGCGATGTACAAAGTCTTATTGACTATTTCAAGTATGTAAATTTGTTTTTATACACATGCTATTTAATTTATTTTACTTTTCTCACGGCGTGGTTTCGTGTAGACAAGTATTTCCAACATTAACAGTAGAAGATATTACATTGGCTTACGATATCAGACGGCTTTTGGCATTAAACGAAGAAAAAGATTGTGCTGAACAGGCGCGTTTATATTGCGAAAACGCAAAAAAAAAAGAACCATTGCAAATGTATCCATATCCTTGTGGTCAAGTGATAAGTTGCTGTTGTAAAAATGTATGTTGTAAAAATACTTTTAGAAATACTTTTAGAAAATTCATAACTATCATAATAATTACAGTACAAAATATTAATGTCTTTTTTGTAGCAAATTGATGCTCAAGAATTTTATACAAATGAAGAAATACGATTAACTGCATTAGTTGAAGAAGAGAAAAAAATGATACTAAATAAACCTCTTGGAGTAGCTTTTGTAACTTTAGGTTGGTTTTGCTGTAACTATTTTATTATAACTCATTATCTATTAATATATTTTCTCCAAGTTTTGTTTCAAATTTTATTTATACATAATTATAACCAATTATTATGAACTAATAAATGTAAATATTAATAATAATAATAATCATGACAATAATGATAATGTTAGGTACACCTAGTGCAGCTAAGATGGTGCGGAAGTACTTGTCTTCTTTGCCTACTATAAAATGGGTTGTGGATTATGCACCTACACCTTCTGATATCTTTTGGGAAAATTTAAGTATACCAAGACCATGTTGGTATCTGAACGCTGTTTTAATAAATTTTGCACTGGGCATTGTACTATTTTTTCTTACTACACCGGCTGTAAGTTATTTGTAATTAAAATAATGACAATGAAATATATATGTTGAAATTTACTTTGATTTTATTAATGAATTTGTACATTTTTATGTCTGATTTTAGGTAATAGTATCTGCTTTAAATAAATTACCAATCACAGGGGAGATTAAGAATCTTAGTCCAGTAGTTTCATCTTTTCTTCCAAGTGTATTGTTAGTTAGCGTGGCTGCTTTAATGCCAGTATTAGTAGCAAGGAGTGAATCATTAGTTAGACATTGGACCAGAAGCAGCCTAAATCGAGCAGTAATGACGAAAACATTACTTCTTTTATTATTAATGGTTCTTATATTACCTAGCTTAGGTCTAACTAGTGCACAAGCATTTTTAGAGTGGACAGTAAATGCAGCAAATGACACAGGAAGATGGGATTGCGTGTTCTTACCTGATCAGGTACTAATATATTGAAATTGATAACATATCGTTTATTTTACAATTACAAATATAATTTACATGCGAAAAATTTACATGCGTAAAATTTTCATATTTTCAGGGTGCTTTCTTCGTAAATTACGTAATTACTGCAGCTTTATTCGGAAGTGGATTAGAGTTAGTCAGATTTCCCGAATTAGCTTTATATACCTTCAGATTGTGTGTAGCACGTAGCAAGGCAGAAAAAGTATATGTTAGAAAGGCAGTATTATGGGAATTTCCTCTAGGTGCTCATTATGCCTGGTTACTTTTAGTCTTTACCATGATGACAGTGTACAGTTTGGCCTGTCCGTTAATTACTCCCTTTGGGCTATTATATCTCGTAGTGAAACATTTGGTATGATATTCAAATATTATTACGATATTCAAGTATAATATAAGTATTTATGACAAATATTTATAGGTGGACAGACATAATTTATGTTTTGCTTATGGACCAAGCATTGGAGGTGGTCAATTAGCAGGCGCAGCAGCAAGTGCTACCGGAGCTGCACCAATTTTGGCACAAGCTGCACTATTAGCTCTAGGTTTAGTAAGGAGAGGATTATCACCTTTAGCTGCGGTACAACTTAGTGGTCTCGCTGCGAGTATCTTAGGTCTTGTTACTGGTGCTACTTTGTTCACATCAAAATTTAAAGTACAGTTTTTTTGAAATTTTGAGCACAATCGATTTTACTATATTCAAAAGTAATTAAAAATAATTTTTATAGGCACAAATGCAGAAAAGAGATCTATCAGTTGGTCAGACTTTTATTGCGCCCGTATTGCGAAAAAAACAAACGTCATTAGAAGAAACTATATCCACCAGTTCAAATTCTGACTGCAGTCCATCAAGCTTAAGAAGCACTAGCATTTCTTCAATACAAGATAGTCCGAAACTTTATCAAAATTATGGTAAAGAATCACAAGCTTGATAGCTTTTAAATTACAATATTTTATTTAATTACTACATTACTATATTATAAATTACGTATTAATTACTATAAACTATGTATTAAAACAATTCAATGAAAGTATATTTAAACGCTAATTCATTATTGAAATATCATGTTATTCTATTATTGCGGTAAATATGAAAATAATATTTTTTTTGCAAATAAAATCGAATTTATTTAAAAAAAAAATTTTAAAAAATCCTGTAAGTTATATATAAATGTAATTTTTCATTTTAAAAACATTGATATCAGATTATTTCCTATTTGATCATTTCATTTGTATAAAATAAATACAAAATAATAAATGTTAATTGTACTATTAGTATACTATAGTAATACAAAAAATAACAATAATAGTCTGTAATATTTTTTTTTTGTTTTTCCTCTAAAATATTTTTGAACAGCACATTCTTTATAAATAATTGTTAATTTGTTAATAACATCTAATGTTTAATTTTAAACATTGTTACTATTACTATAATCTATTAAAAGTCATGGATATTATATTCACAGAAAGATTTTTTTTTTGTTTCTTTTGTTTTATATGAGTTATCATTAATTATATACTATTTAATAAAATTTAAATGTACATTGTGGATGTAATACATGTTACTTGAAGAATAATCGAAAATTATAAATTTGATTCGTAGAACAAAAAATTTATATTTTTAAAATTTCTAATATGACGCTTATTTAATGTACTATATATATTATGTTCAAAGATTGAAAAGACTTCAAATAAAAATATTAAATAAAGGAAAAAAACAAGTAGAAACGTTGTAAGGAACAGCCTCAAACTTTGCGTTTTGGCTTTAAAAAGTTTTAAAGTTATTTTAAACATATATAAAGTAAAAGCGTAAACTAAGAGGAGTTTTACTATCCTATTCTATTATTCTATTCTATAAAAAAATTTAGCCCAACCCAAATTTACTCCTGGTTAAATCAAAATTAGATTTAGGTTATTTGAAAATCATATTTTGATCATTAAATAAATTTTAGTTAATGATTAATAATTTAATAATTTTTAATTATATTAAAATTATATTTTAATTATATTAAAATTAAATTTGAGTTATATTCATTTTGAAAAAGAGTGGTCACTTTTACTTTGTAAGAGTAGCCAGAATATAATATTTCCTATAAAGCAATTATGTGTTCTGGTCATTTTTTTCGTTCCTTGCAGCATTTTCGGTCCTTGAGTTTAAAATATATACAATTTAAAATACATAAGGAAAAATATTATTGACTTATATTGAATTCTTTGTTTCACTATATTCACATTTATGTAAATTCCTTTGTATATAATTTTCTCTCTCTAATATACATATCAATTTCAATTCAATAAGATAATTTAATGTTTTAAAAAAATCAATTAAAAAACGTAAAAATATATGTATTTCACAATATCATGCGGATTATATAATAAAGATTTCATTTATGTAATCTTATGATGGTACTAAATACCTTTGAATGTAACACACAGCATAATACATATAAACTTTGAAAGTAACACATAGCATAATAATATAAACTTGAAAAAATTCACAAAACAATATGATGTTAATACAAATATATTGATATATTTATGATGATGTAATGAATAAAAATTTTAAATTACAATGTAAAAAAAATTGAAAGAAAATTTTTAATTAATGTGTTTTACAAAAATGACATTACGGAATTTCTGAAATTTCACATCCAAATGTATAATTCGAAATATTGAAAAGTATATATAATTGTATATCAAAACAGAATGAAAAAATACTATGTGCATACCCACATACTTCAATTCTATTTTTATTTGTAAATTAAGAAAAATATTCTATGCTAATCTGATTAAGTGAATGTATGTGCGTATCTGTAAGCTTATAAAGTTCATAAATGCAATTTATTAATAATTTACATACACAGAAAAATTACACTGTCCGACATGAGAAAATTATTTTAATAATAAACAATTTCTAATAGATTTTTGTGCGTTGATTACAAATATGAAATCTATTATTCTCTATTATCTTAATTTCAAGTTTGAACTCAAAAAAAAATTTGAATTTCAAAAAGAATTTCAAGTTTGAACTTGTTTTGTGATTAAATTGTAAAAAATTGCTGGAGTCAGATTTCACACAGGTCCTTAGTTTTTTAAATAAATTAAAAAGTAACCGTGAAAAAGCAAACTCGAGGTCCCAATTATATTAATGATTGTTTAAATATGTTAATGTAACAAATATTGTATTGTTGTATTCAAAAGAGTCTATAGATTTCCCACAAACTAGATTCAATGGATATATTTACGATTCAAATTCAAATTTGAAAACTTATCATCTTTTTTCAAAATTTAATTTTTCGAAAACTGAAGGCAAAGGATGAAGGAAAACGAATTTCAAATAACTAATCAGTATTTGTCAGAAATTTATTACAAATTACTATTTACTATTAGAAAAATGAAAAGAAGTTAAACGGTATTATTATATGTCAGACAGTATTATTATATTCAGAATAAAATTCATTTTTTTGATATCGGAATTGGAATTTATTAAATTAATTTGTTATTCAACTGATCCCTTTAACATGGAATGGGTGTTATATAAACAATGTATATAATTACAAATCCTACTAACACTGACGTTCACATTTATATCGCATTTCTTATTGTATAATTTATGAATTGTGAAGGTTTAAAACTATGTACGTTATTATGGTTCATTCAGATAAACTACCACCGATTATAGCCTGCAATTGACTAGATGTAAGATTATTTAATTTTTTTACCTGGTCTTTTTCTTCTTTCAATTTCAAAGATAATCGACGTAATTCTTTTCTTTTTGAATTATATTCATAAGGCATAAAATTGGTAGAATGCATTGCTTCTTCATCATCTTCTTTTTGAGATTCTTCACTTTCTTCACTACTCGGATGAACCTATAAAACATATTCATTATCTACTTTTTTTTATAAAAAATTATATATTTTTATAGTATACAGTATATTGCACAAAATAGATATTACTTTAATGACTTTCTAAAAATACACTATTATTGAAGCATGATACTTTGATATAACTTAGAACATGAACTTAAGGAGGAAAACATTTAAGACAAATTTCTTTTATACTTTCTGAAAAACAATATTTCAAGACTATTCTTTTAAAATATATATTCATAAAATCGATTACATTGATTGCGATGTGTTCTAAGCAGCTATGCAACAATCCAATCTTTTAGAAATAAGATAAAAAAGTATAAAAGTATCAATATTGTTTTTAACATTGTGATATTGTGACAAACTTTCACATTATTATTTTTATATTACTACTATGTACTAATCTTCGATGATGGATCTATAGAGTATGCCGCAACTTATGGTCACACTGGGAGATGATTCTACATGTAAAAATATGTCGAAAAGAAGGAATAAAATTTTTTCATTAAAACTTTCATTTTCGAGAAAAATCGAAAATCAATCGATTATATTTAAATTTGACTAATTTCATGTTGGACAGGCACGCGACTGACAGGCGAGGATATTCTACGCGCAAAAATAAGTAAAAAATATGAAATAAAATTTTTTTTATTTAAAGCGTCATTTTCAAGAAAATAAACTTTGAATATATTTCGTTAAAAATTACCTTAAATACACCTGTGCTTAATAAATTTTCAAATTCGATTTTCTTCGAAAACGGAGTAGCTTGCAGAAAGATTTTTACTTAGAATAACCTCTTGTTAATTATTCTTTTCTCTCACATTAAGTAAATTCAAGTATATTTTCTCTAACATTAAGTAAATTCAAGTATATTCAATACATTTTTAAACTCGATTTTCTCGAAAACGAAGGCTTTAATGAAAAAAAATTTTTTTTTTGACAGATTTTTATTATTCTTCCAATCGGTTGATCACTGGTTGCAGGACAACTTATATACGAATGTAGTGTGTTTTAGAACTATTACATACTGATAGTGCACATATAATAAGATTGGTATATTGGAAAAAAATCAACAAAGAAGCATATGCATAGAGTTGAATGACAAAGCATTAATGAAAGTCATTTGCATAATTGACTTAATTAATGATAGTGGTTTTATTTATTTTTAATAATTTTTATACAGTCAAGTAACAACAACCTACAGGTAAGATATTGAATTTTTTTATTCACAAATACAACATTTCCAATAATACATCCAATTGACACCAGCGGGGTCAGCTGTTATAAAAACAAATCTGTCTCTTTGGCACCACACAGAAATTTTTAAATTAAAATTTTTCATCAGTTAAATAGTTCAACTTTTCAATGCTTCTCTGATCTCTGACAATAGAATCTCTGACAAAATAGATACCAATTTTATTATCATATAACAAATCTTGAAGAAGAATAGACGATCAGAAATAGACGAACATAGCGTACTTAAAATATTTTATTATATTCTCTATATTCATATTAAATATAATAAACAATTATATAATATAATAAACTGATTTATTTGCATTGTTTGTTTGAAACGAAATTCCTAATGATATCCATATTTAAACTAGTCTACTGTCTTTCCTCCGTAAGTTTACCACAAGTATTTTAAAATAATATCAAAAGTATTTTAAAATACGAGTAAAGTAAATACCCACAATGAAAATTATATATAATAGGTCATCCCATAAGTTCATTCTAAACAGCTGTCTGAAATGGACAAAAATATGATTCGAAAAATTTGGTGGATGAAAGGAAGAGATTATCGGTTCAAGAAATGTCACATAATGTCAAAGTTCTGATATATTCTGACATTAACTGTGCACAGGCAAGAAAATGGGAATGGTATTGAAACTATAAGTATACCAACTCACGAAATCATATGGACAGCGTGACAATGTGCATATCAATGTTTGCTCGCAATAGGAAAAATTGCTAAAACCTTTGATAACCGCAGATGAAAGGTAGATTTTGTATTAGAATCCCCAAAGAAAATGAACTTAGACCAGAAAGAAAGAACGAGCTCAATGGTGAGCTGAACTGGATCTACACTCTCGCAGTTTTGCTCTGTTTGGTATTTATAATTATCAAGGAATTTCGAGTTGCTTTCAGCTAATGAAATAATAAATTTCTTTGTATATATATTTTGTATTATATATTTTGTATATATATACATATATATATATATATATATATATATATATATAAAATAAACAAATACTATAGCTAGATGAACTAAGAGAAATAATAGCACCAAAGGCCTCAAACTCACAAATCAAGAAAATGTTATTTTTCATCACGGTAATGCCAGATCATACACCGGAGGCACAAAATGTGCAA